ACAAGTTGCTCTGCTCTAGTTCACGGTGGCCGTTTATGGAAAACGCTGCCAAGTCACCGGCCTAAATCAAGGATGTCGAATTCTTAAAATGAGTACGAAATTAGCAAAAGGGAATCATCAGTTTTATATTGATACCCGTACAATATCGACGACAACGGCAAGCTAAGGAGTGATCGTTTTTGCTTTATTCAGAGATGATTGCTGACTTCTTGGTTTCAAAATGGCCTTTCGGAACCACTTCGTGATGTGGCCGCCACATCATCCTGATGGACAATCCGAGTTAAAAACGATGCAGCACCAGAAAAGAAAAGTAGGAGATTCCGGATGCCGCATTTTGAACTGGTGTGACTTGTTCTTGGTCCCGAATGTTTTGCCTTTGGGCTAATTCTATTAAGCGGAACATAAAGCCCACAGAGTGGCATCGGCGTTAACGTTAAGAACAGATTTATTTTGTGTTACTGCCTTCTCTTTTTATGATTCTCCGCCGTGAGCTCCTTCCATCTGTCTTGTTTTTCACAGCGCAAGTCGTCAACTCTCGTTTGCGGGCATTTGCGCCGCCGCCGCCGCCTTACGCGACCTCTTGAGAAAGCGTTCAGCTGTCACGGGCGGGGAAAGCCAAGATTAAAAGACCGCAACGGCGGAGGACGGACGATCGTGGCGGTCATCTCTTGATTTCTCGGTTTTTCGCACTTTATGAAGCCAAGGCGCGTGTTCTTTTCACCATCTGGTGCTTGGACACACATGATGAACAAATTGTCACATGTGAGGACCGGTGGCATCGGTCCGCTTATCAATGTCACTCGTGAAGAAACAGGCTCGGCGAACTCATTTGAGGCTCTGCAGTAATTTCTAAATGAAAAACAAAAACAAAAGGCCCCCCCAAAAAAAGAAACAGTTTAGTGCTAATTCAATTCACCATTATGCTGGGGGGGGTGTTTACAAATCAACGTGTAATATGATCAATACCACATTATTCAATCATAAATAAGACGTCAACATGGTTGTGGGTGCGCCCATCACCTTAATTGATCCCTCGCCAACAGACTCTTATTGACAAATCGAGGCCGACTTGTTATTTACTAGGTGCAGACAGAGCACGCCCAAGAGAGCAGTCGCATATTAGACATGAATCAGAATTTCCAGAGCGAGGGAAGGAGAAAAAAGATGACAGGGGAGAAAAAAAAAAAGGTGGAGGGCGCTCAAAGAAAAACTGTTTGAAGCTTTGTCATGCGTGCAGCTCGCGGAGCGTTTGTATGGAAATGTGGAGAGTGAGTGGCGGCCCTGCAGGCTGTCTCTCAACTCCTCCACCAATCAAACTCGATGTTTTTTTTTTCTGTTGTTTGTTCCAAATGTCCTCGTGTCATGTCAAGGGAAACATTTTTGGGGTTTGGTAAACAAAATCGAAGTTGAGTGGCAATCTTGGATCAATTAGTCAATCGGACAGCTCTTATATGTCGATAATCGGACGTCATTTGAGCAAGTGGGTTGCGGACGGGTTTTTTTTTTTTTTTTTTTTTTGGAACTTCTTGAATCACCCTCCCTTGTCCTTGCCCGTGCCGTGATCTTTGCAGTACAGCGCGTGCGCACGCGCGCTTGTATTATCTGGCGCGGTGCGTGCACCGCTGTGTGCCGAACATGCACGATATCTCAAGACAAACATGGAGTGGCACCGCTAACGGCCCTAAAGTGAGCGCCTTATTGCCGCCGTGCGTGTGACAGCTTGATAAAGGTCAAACACCGTCAGCGTCAGTGTGGCACGCATGATTAGTTTGCGATTAAAAAAAAAAAAAAGTTTTCTTTGGTAATATACTGTACCATGTGATGACAGTTAGCGATTACAACGTTAACAATCCGATAATTGTGTGAGATATTCGGAGGATTATGAGAGAACGCCATCTGTGCTGTATCTAAATTAATGACCATCGAGGACCCACACGATGAAGAATTGAACTTTTCAATTTGCTTGTATGCAGATAATTGTGTCTCCGGAGGGGGCTGCCCAGCCATCAAGTGGGAAGTCACGACGTATATCTTCCGAAAATGTGTCAGTGAGCGAGACATTTAGAATTTCGCCCGATTGTGACAGCGTGTGGGAGTGGTGTGATGTAAATGAGGCGAATAGTGACATCACTGGTCAGCAAATAATACACCCCCCCCCTACCCGCACAGCAATTCCTGCGCCACACTGTCTGAAAGCCTGTCATGTCTAAGCCAAAAGGTAAGCAGAGCTGCATCGAGGGAAAATGCAACCCCAATAGGTGGCAAGGAACTATGTTGACGTGAGGAAAAGAGCTTCATTAGGTCAAGCAATAGCCATGTCCAAGTGTAAATAGAGTTTTGGCGCCATCTGGTGACATCCTGGTGTCATCCTGGTGTCAAGAACGTATTTTTAAGTGAGTTGAGGAGTTTCATTTCGACATCAATACTGCTTTGCCATCATCTTATGGCATCTATTGGCAATTAACAAACGTTTCACTTCTCGTGGCACGGCTGAGTCTCGATTTCCTGCAAATAGCGGAGGTTCACGATAGCGTAAAAAGTTTTCGCGTTCCTGCTATATGAAATCAAATAAAAGAGAGCGACACCGCTCTATCCGGGCTAAAAGTCATCATTAGCGTGGATCAGCAGACGTTGGTCGGCCTCTTTCACTGAAGACATTGACTGGAGAGTTTCATGCCATTGTTTTAATGATGGAAGCCAAAGGTCTGCGCTTGTGCGTGGTCTAAAGATAGCTGCCGCAGCTCGCTTCATTGCGGTCGGCGAAAGTGGATTAGGCGAGCTTCAACATCAAGACCAGCTCTAATGAAACCCAATGGGGGATGTCAGCCCGTCTGTCGGACCAGCTGACTCCTGTAAAATAGCAATCAGCGGCTCCTGCAGCTCTAGACGAGAAAAGTGCTCGAGTGGTGCCAGGCGGTGGCCGCGTGGCCTTGATGGAGGGGGGGGCTAATCCTTGATGCTGGTTGGGATGCGCAGCAGCTGAAGACAGCAACCGGGATAGCGTCTAACTCAATCCGTCATAAAGTGAAGCGATGGCGACATGTGACATCACCGCCAAAATCCGTTTGCTGCACTGTATCACCCACTTGCGAATCATGTCAAAGTCAAAAGGTAAGCAGAGCTGCATTGAGTTTATTTGGATGCCCAAATTAGCTTCTGGTAAGCGGCGCATACTCGTTTTCGCATGGCCGTGGTAGGGGAAAAGAGGAGAGCTTGTTTGGGAAGGTGACTATGCGCCACATACACACAGTGTACAGTAGTGTATGAAGTGCTGCACCCAAGAGTGAAAATAATCATGCTTTTTTTTTTTTTTGTAACCGCCCACACCAGCAGTATATGGGCATGAGTGTCAAGATGCTCACTAGCATAAGACAGGTGAGCTGTGTCAAAGATGCTAATGCTACTGAAATTCAAAGATGCTACTGCTACTGTAATTTTTGATTCTCTGGGTTTTTTGACAAAAGCATATCGCAGATATTTTACAAAAACACAGGAAGAACTGTGTCCAACTGGTGGGGGGGGGGAGCACAATATTGTTTGTCTAATACAAACACATTTCTTAAACCAATATTGCCTTGTGTACGCAGTAAAATGCTAAGCGATTGCTCAATAAACAGGCAATGTTAGTGTTAGCAGGTCCTCAGCCTGTAGCGACCACAATTAAATAGCAAAAACTCAAACATGGCAGCAAGCGGGGCCATTTCCATGTGGCAGCAAAGTGGACAAGTTTCCAACTGCAGCGAAAATGAAAAAGCACCTTTCTTCATCGAGCAATGCTCGCGATGTAAACTGACCGGCAAAACAATTCAAAGCTGCTTCCACCAGCACCAGGAATGCAAGAACAATGTTGAAGTGTCGAAGCGTGTTTACTTTTGTGACATTTTGGTTTGGCGGTTTGGCGGTGTGCCGTGGTGGCGATTCCTCTCATGTCCAGTAAGCGGACCACTATTTAGCCCCCCCACCACCCCATTGAGCTTGCATTTGGAGGGGGAATGTCAAAATGAGGAGCAATGCCGAAGTGTCGCTAAGTGCGACAAGACGCATCTATCAAGCCCGGAACAGTTTGCCTTCTTGTCCTTCGTAGCCGAGTCTGCAGTGGGAAGGTCCAAATAAACACATTCCTGCACCACCTCCAGCAGAAGAGAGAAACACACGCACGCGTGCACACAGCGCACACTCCACTCACATTAATAGAATGAGGTGTAATACAGGTGCGTTTTTTTGTTTTTCAAACATTTTGGGTCTAAACTGTATTTAACTTGTGTGCAGTAGTTTTAAAATGTAATTCATTCATTATGCAAGTACATTTTTTTTTTCATAAATGTAAAATCAGCGTCATTGTCTAAACCGCGCTTAAAATTGTAGAGCCTTTGCCTTGTTTTTGAGAACACTTAGGCTGACTACACAACAGTATTTTGGTCATGATGGTGGCGCCATTTTATTTATTTATTTTTAGATTTTAAGCAGTACTCTAAATGACGATTTGGGAGGTGTGTGCGTGTGTGTGTGTGTATAAAACGCTTTATGTCAAACCCCCAACTGGTGAATAACTGCGGCAATTGTGGGGAAATATTTGCACCGGCATACACACTGACACACACACACACACGCGCGGATGCCATTGCTTCTGCTCTTCGTCATCATCCTCATCACCACACACCATGCTACAAGGTAAAACAAGCCCAGGGTCACTTGCGAGGAAAAGGAGCGATCAATTCCCGCAACAAACGCGTGGCCATGTACGGACATCACAAACAAACAAGATTGCAAATCTATGGAACGATTTGCCATGTAAGGAGGCTTGTCGTTTTAATGCTTGTTCTTATATTTTATCTCTTTCCTATCGAATAATAATAAAATAGGCTATTGGGTAAAGGGGTGACATCACGAGTTTGCCAAACTTTTACAAATCAACGACAGCATCGAGCATCGTCTGCCATTTTTTTTTCCTCGCAACTTCATTGCACATCACGTAACTTTTCCTGAGTCCATCCACTTACCTTGCAGACATCGGCTGTTGCGCACACAAATGGCACGGGAGAGACAATCCAAAACAAAGCAAGCCGGGTTCGGCAGGGGGCCAGCGGTCCAAGTCCGCTGGCGCGGTCCCGAGAAGGATGAGGAGGATGAGGAGGCTGGGCGCCTTCCGCAATGATTCTGAGCCGCGCGTTCGGAGGCAGGCGGCGAGTAAGTAGCGAGCTTGAGCGCCGCGCGGGGCTTGTGGAGACAGCACAAGCAGGGAGGGATGTCCAAAAAAGACGCACGCACACACGCAGAGGAGGCGCACCAGGATTGGACAGCGAGGCGCTGACGTGCCGGCAGGTGACTCCTCCGCCGGATAAATAGTCCCCTCGGTGGTTCTCCATTGAGAACACTTTCAAGACGCCTTCCTACCAAACGTCCTTTGAGGGGAGAACTAAAAAGAAGTGATGTCATTTCAGCGCCAGGAAATTGAGGCAGCCATGACACCCGCGGTGGGCGATTCCGGTCCTGGAAGGCCGCTAGCCTGAATGTTTCCTTCCCATCTCTCCCTGTTGCAACACACCTGATTCAAATGATCAGATTACCAGCAAGCTCTACTGAAGCCGGATCTTGAACCTGTTCGTTTGAATCAGGTGTGTAGCAAACAGGGAGAGATGGAAAATATGCAGGCTAGCGGCCTTCCAGGACTGGAATCGCGCGTTCCGGCATTACCCGCTGGACATACCATTAGGAACACTTTTGATCTTTCGACGTCTGTGTCGGGCTTTTCCCTCACCGGTTGTGGTTTTTGCTTGACCTTGAACTCGATTTTAGTTTTCGATGGCAGTGGCAGAAATGCGCTGCATCATACGTTTTCCTCCCAATTACCCAGTAGTAAGTGAAAGCTGCTTATAAAAACAAATAAAATAAACTATCTCGAACTTGTTCAAGATGAAGTCGGGATAATACTTGCATTCAAAAAATATTGACTCTACTGTTTTGACACTTGCCCAGGATGTAATTCAGGTCCCAAAGCCAATGTTTTAACACATTTTTTTTTAATAAACAAATATGGGACCAGGGCTAATCCTGACAGGAATGTGTGTAAGCCAATTACAGCTGCTTCTTGTGCAGGGACCTGAGGAATGGAGCCTCGCAGTTTCCTGTTCAGCCTCACTGCGCGCTTCCTGCTTTACACACACACACACACACATTTAGTGTGAGAATGATGTCCCATTCTTACGTGTGTGTGTGTGTGTGTGTGTGTGTGTGTGTGTGTGTGTGTGTTTTATGGCTATACATGTTTATAAGATTACATAAAGCGGCGTAAGCGAGGTGAGAAAGGGGTCAAACAGACGTGGATCTGGTGAGTTGCTGCTGTTGACAATGATGCCGGTAACACGTTACCCAGGAGCAAAGTACACGTGAACGACTCAACTGCCAATGTAAAAACTCAAATCGACAAGAGCGAGTTTTGCCAGATCGCTGAGAGTCAGGAAGTGCCGACCAACGGGGCGGCGGAGGCGGACACGGTCCGATTGAGACAAACTCACCTTCATTCTCCAAACACGCTCCCTGGGTCCGAGCTCGGCGTTGGCTTTCCTGCAATTTCACACCGTCTGACTCCGGCGAGAGCCGCGTGAACACACTGATAACCGAGGCGCCCGCTCCACGCTCACCTTGATGGCGTCCCTCCTCCTCTGCCGCCTTCGCCCGAGTCGCCAATCTTTGGAGTGTCAACAGAATATCAGATAACCGGCGAATAAAGTGGCGGAAACTTGGCAAGAAGTTTCGGTCTGCGTGATACTTAACCTCAAAAAAAAAAAAAAAAAAAAAAAACACGGAGGAGGATTTTTGTCATGTTTATTCAATAGGATTATGGGCCTAATGTATCGAGCCCGCCAGCCCACTTTCTCCCAAATCCCAAAACGTGCTTCTCATGTTGACTCAAGACTGCGTATTGTCAATTTGTGTGAATGTGAAGCGTTGTTTGTCTATATGTGCATTGCGATGGACCGGCGACTAGTTAACGACCGAGATGGGAATAAGTCAAATATGTGCAAGTCCCAAGTGACTCTGGCAAAAATTAAGCAAATCAAGTAGAGTCAACAATGAATTTTAAACAAGTTGGGCGAATCAGGTCTTCAAAAACAAGACTTGTGGTCTTTTAGTAATAAAATTACACACACACACACAGTTGCCCGGTTCAAAGCGTGCGCTTTTATTTTTCTTTAGCTCCGTCCTCATTTGAAGAAGTAGCTTCAACAACGGGCGATGAGAGAAGAAAAGAAAAACAATATCTCAAGAAATAATACTGTCCTCGAATGAAGTGACCCATATTCAAAGCTATTGATACTCCAGCCTGGAAGTCCAAGAGTACGTATAAACCGCTTAGTGTATATAAGCAATTTTTTTTTCCTTTGCGCAGCATCAACTAAGATTACTCAGGGCACCAATCACAATTGTGCATTAGCGCTCGGCGATGTGGTCTGTTCTGTGTCCAAGCATGAAGTGATTCATAGATTCATTCATTCGTGTTGAAGGCGAGCTGAGGTTGAACACGGACGGCCTCCTTCGACCTGAATTTATTAAGGCGGATTTCTGCAAGTGAATAAATATCTTTCCTAGAATCCTCAATGGCGTGTGGAATATATTGTCACTGTTGAAAAGCGCTTGTTTTGTTTTTTTTCGCTCAATTAATTTGTTTCTGGGAAAATAATGAGACGTGCCCCTGAGATGTTTTTTCCCTACAAGTGATTTGAGTGCTCCATGCGTGAGTCAAGTATGTGAAAAAAATCATGCGTTCAATTCGCTCTCGCTCCATCACCGTCGGCGTTTGTGCCGCACCTCCTTCGCCTTGTAGAGGCATCTCTTCATCCCACCCCCGCCCACCGTTCATGTGAATAAAAGTCTTAATCCTCGCACTTATAATGTGTTCATACTCGTGTGCATTTTGGCACCTGGATCAAAGCCCGACGCGTTTATCTGGCAGTTGGAGGAACGCACAGGTTCTTGGTGTTAAACTAACCTTGAGCTTTGGGGGCGGAAGCTAATTGTGTGCGCTCAAAATGCTAATTTGTACCCGGGAAGTAATAATTGGTGGTCAGAAAGTAGCCGCGACTCCACGCCGGACGGGTGGGTCAGCAAATCGAGTGCACCTTCGCATGATTTCAAGACGAAGGCTACGTGTTAGAGCAGCGGTGAGCAACATTTTTGAATCTGAGAACAGCTTCTTGGTTACCGATGAATGTGAATCGCGATTCGTTGGATACACATTTTGGAAATAAGCCATTTGCTCAAATGACCAAATTTAGCCAACGGGTTCTTTGAAACCGGGGACCCGAAAAAGCTGTCATTCCTGCTCGTTTTATTGATAAGGCGCAGTCGTCGTCGAAGAATGTTTTGAAAACATGTACGTAGCATCAACTGCTCCCAGCTTTGGATGCGATTTGATTGTCCACCTGAACTTCCGTTCTCAGCACGTAGCCCAAGTAGCACGCATACAATCAGTTTTCCGCTTGGCGATGTGAAAAATATCAAACGCGTTACATGTTCGTCTCGGAAAAGTCACAGAAAATTACGCACACGCACGATATGCCGAGCAGACTCCACTGACCTTTTTTTGCTCAGCAGATAGCTCCGGTGTGCGGCAGTCTTATGCGAAAGGTAGCGGCTAAAGCTACGCAACAAACACGGGGAGTATAATTCCGTTTTCATGACAGGTTATTGACAAGAACAGAATAAGAAAAGACACTTACCGGAAGGACATCGCAAATTGGAAGTTCCGGTTCGAGATCAATGTCTGGGGAAACCACTGGAAGAGCAATCAGCCGGTAATGGGATAGAGGCCAACAATCTGCGGCCGCGTTGTGCTGCCGAGAGCAATCACAATCAAAGAGACTTGAGGATATCGGAATTGTTTGCTTCCCATGTGAACGGAAAGCTGAGGCAAGCCTGAAGTCCACCCGTGCGCCTCTGAAAGTGGAAAAGGAACAGCGGGAAAGCCTCTGCGAATTTAGTCGAGTCAAATGACACAAATGAAAGAAACGCATCACAGCATACATATGCGTCTGAGGCATTTGCTAAGTGCAGTGTGAAAAGGCCTACAATGCAAATATGTGGGTGGGATATGCATACACTGATTTTTAATATCTTGACCTATTTTTTTTTTTTTTTAGTACAAGAAATTCCACACAAGACAAGGAATTTTTTTTTCTCCAAAATCCAATAATCTTTAAAACATTTGATGAAAAGAAATGTTTTGGCTTCATGGCGTGGAATGCATTTAATGTGTAAATTATTAACAGCATTTTTTTTTTAAATTCCAGTAACCACTCAAGTTGGCTATTCATGTCAGAATTGGTAGGGGCTTACTGCATATGTACAAAAAAAAAAAACGCAAAGAAACACTCAAGTCCTTCAGCCTTGGCCATTTCAGTCCATCAAAACATCGCTCAGCATCCAAATGCAATTTCCATCTCAGCTTTTCCCCCATCAAGCCACTTTTGAACCTCGGCAAGATGTCAAATTCCTCTTCATTAAATCCGATAAAAATCCGAGCAGCTGCACGAGCCCATTGAGGAGCACCCGGACCCCCGGCCCGCCGGGCCCCACTGCTCCACCGGACCATCTGCCGCCAGTCGGCACAAAAGGCCACATTAGCAAGCAGAGTTTCTCATGATGGTGATGATGATGATGCTGATGGAGGAGCCATGAGCTAATTAATAAACATCATCAGATCACGCCTTTTCAAAATAACCAGCTTGTAATTATCTGGTGAGCTCTCTTGATTTGCACAAGACGCACGTGGTCCTCAGAGTCAAACATGGGACAAACCAAGAAATCCACTTTGGAAGGCAGCCCTTATAGCTGTGTGCAAACAAATGCAAACACACATACAGGAACACACGAAAGCATCAACACAAACACACAAAAACATACACGCAACCAGCTTGTAATTATCTGGTGCGCTCTCTTGATTTGCACAAGACGCACATGATCCTCAGAGTCAAACATGGCCAAACCAAGAAACCCGCTTTGGAAGGCAGCCCTTAGCTGTGTGCAAACAAATGCAAACACGCATACAGGAACACACTAAAGCATCAACACAAACACACAAAAACATACACGAATAAGCAAAACAAAAATGGAAAATTACAAATATCTACATACAGTAGCAACACAATCAGCCACACACAGTCACATTCCAAAAAACTCACACAAGGACAAAAACACACTCAAAGCAAAAAAAAATGGAAAATCACAAATATGCAGTAGCAACACAATCAGCCACACGCAGTCACATACCAAAAAACTCACACAAGGACAAAAACACACTCAAACACACACAACTAGGATGGACCAAAGCCTTTGTGGGGACCCAAAAGGGCGTGTTTCCTCCTGGAGGCGCAATAATTCGGGCTCACCCAATCTGACTTGCCAGTGAGCAACTTGGGGATTTGCATTATGCCCGTCTCAAATGTTTCAGTCAATAAGTCGCCTAAAATGCCGTTCCACTGCCACGGAAAGCTCGGCCCGGTGTCCTCCCGGGGGCACGAGTGCGCACGCTTGATAAACAACGAGAGTGCCGCAGTGAGAAAAACAAAAGCCAAAAAAAAAAAAAACTAAAAAAAACATGAGGGCAAGGATGGATGGCGCACACACAAGGCCCATTGGAGAGTTTTCAGGCCTTCTATGTGGTGCGTGACGGC